CGGATTTGTGTTCCGGACCGAGCGCTGCGTGTTCTCTGCGGCTTGTTGTGGCTCGGCCAGGCCGTGGCTGGGGCCGCCACAGCCAAGGCAGCCTTGGCGACATGGAGGGGTCCAAGGCTGCCCCTCAGCCGTACTTGGGGCTGGTCCTGGAGAAGCTACACAGGGTGAGTCCAGGCGCGATCAGGGTTACTTGGCCCAGGGGTCGCGGAGCCGCCCAGGGAAGGAAGCAGCAGACTTTGGTTTTGGGGTCTGAGTGGCAGTGATCGGAGGTTCCGAAGCCAGTCTTCAGTTGCTGCTGGGCTCCGGCCCGAGGCAGTAGCCAGGTTCGTAGGATGCTTGGGCGGTCTTTTTCTGGGGGGTATGTGTGTGTGTTTGTGGTGGAAGGGGATCAGATGAGGAAGGTGAAGAGAGCATTTGCTTAGTGGGACTTTGCAAAGGTATGTTAAATGTTTCCCGATTCCTAACACGAATTAGCTTTTCTGTTATGCTGTTTATTATGAATACAAGTTAGTGACACATGGTTCCCCCGACTGTAACAAACTTAAGGACTGATCTTCCGAAATGAATTCTTTTTAGTGGTGAAACTTTTCCTTGTCCTGAAAGGACACCTAAGCCTGGATGGGGGGTTGGGGTTCTCATTCTACATTTTCTTTTAATAAAGAATGCTTTTCTGAGGTGCTTTACCATAAGTGAGATTGTTCTTCGCTTCTTTCTGTGTCTTGTCAATGTAAAAGGTCGTATTCACGTAAAATTTGAAGACATTAAACTAGTATTCAAAATTTATTTTGTGGTTCAGTTTATGATCATGTTGCAGGGGTTTTTCTAAGTGTTTATAGCTGTCTTTGTGGACATGTTTAGGGGCATTTATGTTGCTGAGTTTTAAACTTTGTGTTAAAATTTTTTTAAAGCACTTTTAAATATTGAGGCAGTTAGGATTATTGGTTTCTTGTTAGGTAAATCAAAAAGTACTGATTTGGTTTCTTGTTAAAAAAAGTTTTCGGGGTGTGTGTGTGTGTGTGTGTGTTTGATAGTTCTGTGGAGATTCTAAATGGACAAAGACAGTTTGGGCCACTGGTATGCTATTAAAGGAGACAAGACAAAGTAGTACAAAGTAGAAACTGAAGTGCGTGCTGAAGCATACACAGCAAGTGCTAGGGAAATTGAGGAGTGGTAGAGATTACATTTTCTTGTTTTTACAGAAACCTTTCAGAAATATTTTAGGAGATGTGAAACAGCATGATATGTGCAGTAAACCAGGACCTGTATTACTAGAGTGTTAGGTAGGCTCAGGGAGTGATATGCAATGATGCTTGCTGAAGACGATTCCAGGTAATGTAGGTGCTGGAGACACATTGTGCTTTTATTCAGCACTCTAGGCTTAGCTTTATTCCTCATAATGCAACTGAAGCAAGACTGAAACATGTAAGTAAACCTTTACTAAGTAAACCTTTGCTAAATGTTTGTATACTAAAAAAAGGAAACCACAGAAAATAAAGACAATTCAGCCTACATATAATAGGCCTTCCTCTCCAGGCTCCTAGGCTCTGTCCTGTTTTAGGCCTGGCATGTTTTTATGTGGTAGGCACCATTTTAGTACCCATCTCTACCTTTCTCAAGGTCTGTGTCCCAAGAAAGAAAGACTGAAGTAGCAATAGGGGTTTATCAGCTTAAGATCAAATAGTGGTTTCCTTTTAGAGGTCTTTTCCCTTTATCTGTATGATTGGCTTTGGGAATGACCACCTCCCTCACCCCATCACAGAACATAACCATATGCAAAAGTTTCCCTGTTTCCATAGAACACGGACTAACAGATGGTCCTTCTGTATGGTGACCCCTCTAGGATATCCAACTAGATTTGTCCAATAAACCAGTATTATAAAACTAAGAGTTGGAGTCACAGATTTGTGAGTTATCAGAGTGGTAGTTGAAACCATGAAAATGGATAAGATTAAAAGGAGAGTATGTTTTTTAAAGGTTTCTGGAATATAATTTGTTAATAAATGTGGAATTAGTGGATGGGTAGATGGATAGATGGATGGATGGATAGATAGATAGATGGATGGATGGATGGGTGGATGGATGACTGAGTGAATATTGACAGCTTCTCATGAGGTAATTATTAATTTTGCAATTCTTATTTCAGGCCAAACTAATTCTGCCTTAGCTCTTTTTAGACCATTTGACCCTAAAGCTCTTTTGATCCTTTTTTAAAGGGAGAATTATTATTACTTTTTATGGTCACCAGTCTTCATTTATGAAAATCAAGAGGCATACTAACAATAGTTTTTATCAAACTTGTTTGTGAATAATGGGTGAGTCAGTCCCTCTTTTAAACTCTTTGGTGGTTTACTATTAAATTACAGGGGGAAAAATTCTCAGTTTTTTTAGCATGACTAATAATGTAAAGGAGAAATTATATTTCAAGTGTTATATCTTGGAGAGGTATACCCTTAATGGAACTTTGCATTATAAGCAAGTATTCTCAAGGTGTGTATGTTGACATTCTAATATTTTGTTTTTATGATGTCATGCTTATTTGTGGTTAAATGAAAAACAATTTTAATTTAACACTAGAGTATTCTGTCAACTTGATTTGTTAATTCTTTAAGATACTTGGTTTAGGACTCCTTTAATACTCATGTTTGGGAGTGGAATAGGTTTTAAGTATTCTGTGTTAATCACTACCTTATTTAGGAAGGGTTACCCATCACTTCTAAAATTTAGGACCAATTTACCAAATATGTGTAATTGTATATTGCATTAAATTTATTGATGTTTGATGAGTCTGGTTATTCTCTCTATATTTTTGTGAGATAGAGTGCTATATTGTACTTAAAATTTAAGAGTGAAAAATCTCCACGAGAGAGCCAGAATAATTAAAACTAGAGCAATGGATTTGAGATGAATTCTGGAGACTCAGATTATTTGCAATTCTTCAGTCCACCAGATCCAACCAACTCAAGACTTTAACCTAGAATTTACTATTTTCTTTTAGAATAGAGGGCTGATAAATGCTAATGAATTTAAGAAATATCACTGTACTAAAGATAATTACATGTTTGATCTGAGAGATGCTTTTAGAATTGTTGCCTAAAGTGTTGTGACATTGTCAATGAATCATACTGATTATTAGATTTTTGAAGTATGCATTTGATATTTTGAAATAGTTTAAAGTAAGATTCTTGGAGATATATAAACTAAAGAAAACTTTTTTCTTTACTATTGTGTACTGGACACTGTACTAAAGATAATTACATGTTTGATCTGAGAGATGCTTTTAGAATTGTTGCCTAAAGTGTTGTGACATTGTCAATGAATCATACTGATTATTAGATTTTTGAAGTATGCATTTGATATTTTGAAATAGTTTAAAGTAAGATTCTTGGAGATATATAAACTAAAGAAAACTTTTTTCTTTACTATTGTAAAGAGAATGAGAATGTTCCCTTCTGCTCTTAGTCTGCTCTTAAACTTTTTTCTTTGCAATAGTAAAATCAATGATTTTAAAATATATATATTTCTGCCTCTGAAAAAAGAGGCAGAAATATATATATTTTAAAATCATTGATTGGCTCTAGTGATGTCATATTTCTGTGAACTGGTTACTGGGGTAATGCATAGCGGGCAGAGATCAGGGTGGGGGTATTTTTTTTTTAGAAGAGATATAATCAAGTTTATTTAATACAGGTTAAGGAACAATAAATAGCAATTTGGAAAGAGTACATATATGGATTAGAATTATAAAACAAGATTTTGGATGGGGAATAGACATTAAAGGGGGTTATTCTAGGTGCAAAAGGCCTAAAAAAGGAAGATTTTTCTGCAGAGGTTTTGAACTGAACACTGGAAAGAATCAAACCTGATCAGACTTCTGGTTGTTTGTAAAAGGACATTTTTTTTTCTTCCTAGCCTTTCTCTTTTCTATGTTGTTAAATAATACCTGAGTTCTGGTAACAAAGGAAAGAATAACCTCATTGGGTGAGGATGAAATATAAGCTGACCCAGAGAAGGATGAAATACTGAAGCAACTGCAAAAGCCTTAAACTGTTTTGTGCAGAAGACCTGACAAGGAATAATGTGGAAAGACCATGAGTACAGGATCATGGTCTTGGAAAGGAAAATAATAGAAATAGTTACCTCTATTGAGTACCTACCTTGCATGTTCAAACAGCATTATTCCCATTACGGATAAAAGAAGGGAGCCACAGCTTTATCACTGATTTTCAAACTTTCTTTTTTTTTAAGCTGCAGATCTATTTTTCCTGTTGTAGGGATTTAGGGAACCCAATATACTCTGTAGATAAAACCTAAACTGGTTGAAATAAGGTTTAGAGCACCTGAGCTCAGCTTCTTTCTTTGGTCTTCTCTCCTCTTATTCTCATCCTCAGAAGTTCTGAGGCATCTTGTAGAACCCCAGTTTGAAAATCATTGCGTTTCACAATGCTGCTGTTTTTAATCACTTGGTAATAGTGTTTGAAAGGTGCCAGAAAAAATATACTTGGATACTTTTTGTTTGGTGTTCGTCTGGCAGCCCATTTCATGAAAAGGATGTTAATAGTGTTTACATATAAACTTGTACTTAGATTTGTGTCCTAGTTCATTTGGACTGTTCTAACAAAAATGCCATGGACGGGGTAGCTTCAAACTTTTTCTCATAGGTCTGCAGGCTGAGCAGGCCAAGATCAAGGTGTCACAAATCAGGTGTCTGGTGAGGGTATGCTTCCTGGTTCATAGTCTCCTTGTAACTTCACATGGTGGAAAGGTCAAGGGATCTTTCTGTGGATTCTTTTATAAGGGCACTAATCCCATTCATGAGGCCTGCACTCATAACCTAATTGTTCCGAAAGGCCCTGCTTCTCAATACCATCACACAGGGGATTAGGATTCAACATACAGATTTTGGGGTGAGAGGGGACACAAACATTCAGTGCATAGCAGTTTGTCATCAACACTTTTGATAAAAAGTATATTTTAAAAAGTTAATTTTCTTTGTCTTGAAGGTTGTGGCAGCTTTGCCTGAAGATATGAGACCAGGTCCTACTCCCTATGGTTTGCCTGGGGAATTGCTGATATGTGCAGCTACTGTTGGATTTTTTGCTTTTTTCTTGTTTTTGTGGAGAAGTTTTCGATCGGTAAGTAACCAATGCTGTATAGTAAGAGAATGTTCATTTTGTCTTCAGCTAGAACAAGTAATATGAGAAACATGTCTTTCGTTTTAAGGAAACAAATTAAGTTGTAGTTATGTTACTACTGTTACTAGAAACAATATGGATTTAGAGGAATTTTTTAAGCGTAAAAATTTTAAAGAATTTCTTTGTAGAAATGTTCTACACTAATACTAAAACCCTTCCTTTATTAATGATTGATTGATCGATTTTTGGTTTGTGTTTGTTTTTAACAGTATACTAAACACCTGTGAGTTTGCCACCTAACCTGGAAACAAAAACATTGACTATCACTTTTATTTAGGCGATCCTCCCTCATTTCATCCCCCTACTTCTCTCTGTACTAGAGGTAGTCCTGTTCTGGATTCTGTGTTGATTATTCCCATGCCTTAAAAAAATTGTTTTTGGTCATATCTTCATCTATTCTTCAAAAGTATAGTATGTAATTTTACTTGGTATCATCCCATATATCATGTTTTGGAACTTTTTTACCCCATCCTATATTGCTAAGGTTCATCTCTATTTTTGGATGAGATTTAATTTTTTTCATTTTTATTACTCTAGGCTATTACATTATAAGAATATACTAAAGTTCATTTGTTTTCTTTTAGTTATTTTTTGTTACAATTAGTGCTGCTGTGTGTAATATTCTTATACGTATCTCGTATCTCGTATTGTATACTTTTAAGCTTCTCTTGCGAATATACTTAGGTGTATGATTACTGGGTTATAGGGTATATGTGGAGGTTCTACTTTTAAAAGATAATGCCAAATTCTTTTCCAAATTTTCTGTACCAGTTCACACCTGTACCAGCAATATATAAGAGGTCCTAGGGATCTATTTGATTTCTCTCCTCTCCAACACTTGTTATTTTGCCACTTGAATGAGTGTAAAGTGGAGTGTTATCATGGTCTTGATTTGAATTCCTCGATCACTAATGATATTGAAATCTTTTACTGAATTTACTAGCTGTATGTATTTGTTCTTTTGGGAAATAATTGTTTATGTCTTTTGCCCATTTTTCTGTTGAGTAGTTGTTTTTTATTTGCGGGCATTCTTTATCTATTCTTGATGCTGTCTTTGGTGATTATGTGTATAGCAAACATCCCACTGTGAAATAGCTTTTCATTTTTCTTAAGGTGTTTTCTGATGAATAGATATTCATAATTTTAAAATTTTGCTTTTAATCACTGAAGTCCTTGATTCATCTTGAATCCAATTTTTTGTCTGATATGGGATAGAGATTCAGTGTAATTTTCTCACCTTATATAAATATTTTTCTCACTTTTATTTATTGAATAATCCCTCCTTTCCTTATTCATCTGCCATGTTAGGTATTAGAGTTCCATATACATGTAGACCTTTTCTGTACTCTTAATTCTATTCCATTGATTATTGTTGAAAACAGATATATGTATATTATTCTGTATCTTCCCCTTGAGTTAAATGACTAATTTGTCTTGTTCATGTATTATGTATTCTTGCTCTTTTTTGCTTATTTCATCTATCAAGAATGAAGAGAAGTGGGCTGAATTCTTCTTTCATGATTTATCACTTTCCATAGTTCTGTCAATTCTTGCTTTACATATTTTGATCGTATTTTGTGGGATACGTGTTTGGAATTTCTGTGTCTCTTGGTGGATTGAACCTTTTATCAATGATCTAGTGACCCTCTATAACTCAAGTGATGCTTTGGTCTTATTAAGGTCTCTTATCTGGCATACCGACTTTCTTTTGGTTGATATTTGATATATCTTTTTTCATCCTCATACTTTTTAACCTTTCATAGGCATACCGACTTTCTTTTGGTTCATATTTGATGTCTTTTTTCATCCTCATACTTTTTAACCTTTCTTTGGTCTTTTACTTAATGTGTGTCCTGTGTAACTTCTTTTATATCTAATCTGACAACTTTTGTTTTTTCACTTGAGTTTAGTCTGTCTACCTATGATTATTGATATTTTGGATTAGTTTCTTCCAGCTTAGTTTATTAATTTGTTCTACTTTCTATATGTTTCTTTTAATTCTTTTTACATTAATAGTATATCTTCCTACTAAGAAGATAAGGACCTTGGCATGCTCTCATATCCCCTGGTCTCTTTCACTTTCTAACCTCATAATGTTGTTATAATCTAAAATTTTCGTTCTGGATATATTTCTCTTTTTCTTGTCTTTGTTCTTAACTTTCTCCTCCATCCCTGCCCCCTCCCTCAAGACTACAAAAAAATATTACCAAGATATTTGATCACCCTTTATTGACATATCTCTTACAGGATTTCGTGGATTTAATTCTTCCCATATTTGAATACTTCTTTTAAGATTGTTCTAGTGTGGGTCTTTGTATGGCAAAGCTTCTAAGACTTTATTTTGAATGCTTGAGGATATTTGAATTAAGTCCTCACAGTGGAATGATAATTTGTTGGATATAACCATTTTAGGTCTAAAGTTCTTTTTAATACTTTAAAACCCTCACTTCCTTGTTTTTTTACATGTAATTTTACTTATCGAAAAGTCTAATGTCTGATTCTTATTTGTAGTTGATCTGTTCTCCGTGGAAGCTTTTAGAATCTTTTAATTTGATATTCTTATTTCAATATAATGTGTCTAGGTTTGAAAAAATTTTATTTCTTCTTTAGAATTTTCTGGAATCTCTTAATATGAGATCTTTTATCATTTTTTTTTTAATTCCAGGAAATTTCTTCTGCATTTTATATTTTTATTTCTCTTTTTGGGACTACTATGTTTTAGATGTTGGCCCTTAACACTTAAGACTTTTATATGTTTTAACTTTTTTTTCCCAATTTTTTTTTTGTATTTTCCTGTTACCTTTTGAGATAATTCCTCACTTTTATGGTTCAGTTAACTAATTTATTCCTCATCTTTACCTCTTTCACTATACCTTGACTTTACAATTGTCTCTTTTAATTTTCTCTCTATACATCTTATGTAGACAATTTAAGTCCCCATTGTTTCTTACATTTGCTTATATTGCCTCGACCCTAAACCTGATCCCCTTACACATGGAATTTTTCCTTCATTATTTGAGAGAGAAAAGTTGGAACATTTCTCAAATTGTGTTGTTTTGAATATTAGCACTAGGTGAAGGAGATAATAGGGGCATCCTGAAATAGTTTGTTTTAGGGTCAAATATGTTTGAGGAACATATTTGGTGGGCTAAATAAAATAGGTATTTTTAAGATACAGTTATTTCAGAGCCTTTAATATGCTGATATACAATGTGAACCTTCAATAGGGAAACTTTAATATGTAGCATTTATCTCATTGAACATAGAACACTTGGCTAACTTATATTCATACTAAGGCAATAGAAAAATGTTATTTTTAATTTGGCAGTGTAAATTAAATAAATTAGATTTACTCGAATGTATATTTCTTTTAATGTAATTTTGTTTAAAATTTTTTTCAGATTAGAAGCCGGCTTTACATGGGTAAGCTCTTTTTTTCTACTTTAGATCTCACCATTTAAAATCATTTATAATTTTAAAACTTAAAACAATTTACATGTGATAATATTAACTTATTAGGGTAACATTGATTAATGACATATGATTTTTAGGTGTATAAGATTATAATTTGACATATGTGTACTCTATTGTATGCTCACCACCTGAAGTCTGGTTTCCTTCTGTTACCATATATTTGACCCTTTACTCACTTCATCCTCTTCCCACCCTCTTTCCTCTCTGGTAGCCACCATTCTGTTTTCTGTATCTGTGAGTTTATTTTTATTTGTTTTGTTCATTTGTTACTTTTTATTTTATATTACACATACGAGTGAAATTATACTATTTGTCCTTTTCCATCTGGCTTATTTCACTTAGCATAGTACTCTCAAGATCCATCCATGTCACAAATGGCAGTATTTTGTTATGTTTTTATGGCTGAGTAGTATTTCACTGTGTGTGCATATGTGTGTGTATGTGTGTATGTGCCACATCTTCCTTAACTAGTCATTTGTCAGTGGACACTTAGGTTGTTTCCATGAGTTGGCTATTGTAAATAATGCTGCAATGAACATAGGGGTACATATGTCTTTATGAGTAAGCGTTTTCATAGTTTCACTTTTTTTTTAATTTTTAGGAAGAGAGAAAAAGCTTGCTGTAGAACTTTCTACACTAATCGAAGAAAAATGTCAACTACTTGAAAAATTTAGCCTTGTTCAAAAAGAGGTAAGACATTTTTGAAAATGTTAACATTCATGTTAGCGTCAGAGGACTTTATACTTCTTTATAAATGCTTTATTTGCAAAGTATGAGAGTTCAGTTGCTCCTCATATTACCTATCTTATTAATTTTAACTGTTGTGGTAGGTGCATAGTGGTGTCTTGTGATTTCAGTTTCCCTTTTCCTGACTAATGTGGTTAGGCACCTTTTCATATGTTTGTTGACCATTTTGTTCTTTTTATGAAGTTTTCTGTTTCCTTTTACATTTTTAAAGGTACGATTATCTATTTTGTTTTTGATACATAGGATTTTTTTCTATGTTTTGGATATGAGTCCTTTGTCAGATATATGTATTGCAAATATCTTCCACTCTGCCTTTTTATTTCAAATGGTGTCTTGGTAAGCAGAAGTTTTTAATTTTAACGTAGTCTAATTTGTCAGTCTTTATGATGACTGCTTTTTGCTTCCTAGTGCAGAATCTTTGTCTGCTCAAGGATACGAAGACATTCTTATCTTTTAGAAACTTTATTGTTTTACTTTCCTCATTTAGTCTTTATTAGTTAGCTAGGACTGTCATAACAAAATACCATAGACTCGGTGGGTTACACACAGAAATTAACTTTTGCATAGTTCTGGAGGTTGGAAGTCCAGGATCAAGGTGTTGCCAGGTTTGGTTTCTTCTCTAGCCGCTTTTCTTGGCTTGAAGATTGCTGTCTTCTTTCCCTGTCCTCACATGGTCTTTCCTCTTTGCTGGTGCCTGTTTCTGGTATTTCTCTGTCCAACTTTTTTTCTCTCAGGACATCAGTCACATTGGATTAGGGCCCACCCTAACAACCTCAGTTTAATTTAATCACCTCTTTAAAGCTCTGTCTCCAAATATAGTCAAATTCATACTGTGGATTGGGGCTTCAGCATATGAATTTCTGTGTGTGTGGGGGAAACTTCAGCTCAAATTTAATCAGTCTTTTCCTGGAATTGAATTTGTGGTAGTGTGATTTGGAGGTCAAGATTCAGAGTTTTTCATATGGATGTTGAATTAATCAGTGCTATTTATTGAAAAGACCATCTCTTTGTTCTGTAGTGTCATCTTAAATCAAGTGACTGTATATGTCTGAGTCTGTATCTATATCTTTTGTCCTGTTAGTCTGTTTTTTAAATTTTCATGTCAACCATGTTTTTTTAATCTATCATATTTTTATAACAAGTCATGATATCTGACAGTGTAAACCTCCAAGTTTTTTGTTCTTCAAGATTGTCTTGGTTATCTTGGCATTTTATCTCTCCACATAAATTTTAAATCATTTCATTAGTTTACACGTGCACATAGCCTGCTTGGAATTTGATTGGGATTACATTGAATATATAGATCAATTTGGAGAGAATGGACATTTTTATAATGTTGAGTTCTTATCTTTGTAATATGGTATATCCCTCCATTTTTGTCTTCTTAAAATTCTCTCAGTATTGTTTTATACATTTTTGGATTGAGGTCTTGCACATCTTTCTTAGATTTAATCCCTGGTATCTGATGATTTTTAAAACTATTGTAAATAGTGGTTTTTTTTTTTACAGCTTTGTTGAGATATTATTCACATACTATACATTCACCCATTTAAAGTGTACAAATGAGTGCTTTTTAGTATACTCACAGACTTGTGCATCCATTACCACAATAAATTTTGTTCATTTTTTTACCCCAAAAGGAAATGCTACACCCCTTAGACAGCACCCTTTGCCCCATCTCCTCCATTTCTAAGCCCTAGACAATTAACCTACTTTTTGTTTCTATAAATATACCTTATGTAATGTCTTCAAGGTTCATCTATATTGTAGCAAGTATCCGTATTTATTTTTTTTGCCAAACACTATTTATATTTCAGTTTATATATCCATCTGTCAGTTGATGGATATTTGGATTATTCTCCTTTTTGGCTATTATAAATGCTGCTGCCATGCACAAATTTTTGTGTGGATATATGTTTTTAATTCTTTTGGGTCTATACTTAGGAGTGGAATTGCTAGATGTCTATTTAACTTTTGAAGAACTACCAAATTGTTTTCTATAGTGACTGTACCAGTTTACATTCCTACCAGCAGTATGTGAGTGTTCCAGTTTCTTCACATTCCTTCCCAACACTTATTTGTCTTTTTGATTATAGCCAATGTCTGACTGAGAACGCCATTATCTGTGTCCTCTGAGAGTCTGCTTCTTGCTGGCTTTTTCCGTTGGTTTTCAGTCAAATCTTGTCTTCTTGAATACCAGGTTATTTTATGTTGAGTATCAGTAATAGTATAACAAAAATCACATGGATAATTTTGATGCTATGGATGATATTATCTTTCTTAAGTGAGGGTTTACTATTGCTTCTCATAGGCAGATGGGCTAGGACATTTGAAATCATAGATTACTTTAATCACAGATTGAGATGTTTAGAAACTTTGGCCTCAGTTAAAGTAATTAGTCTGTTTCTAGTTTAGACTTTCTTATAAGTTGGCCAGTGTGGGTTGGTATTAGTTTTCTATTGCTGCTGTAACAAATTACCACAAACTTGGTGGCATAAAGTAACACAAACTTATTCAGTTATAGTTCTGGAGGTCAAAAGTCTAAAACCAGAAAGATAGGGTGAAAATTAAGGTATCAGCAGTCTGTTTCTTCATGGAGGCTTCAGAAAAGAATCTGTTTCTAGCTTTTTCCACCTTTTGGAGGATACCCACATTCTTTGGCTCATAGCTGCATCACTCTATTCTTTGCCTGCATCTTCAAATCATCTTCTCTCTTAACTTTTATCCCCTGGCATTCCTTGGGATTATATTGAGCCCACCGAGATAATTCTACATATTCTTTCTATCTCGAGATCCTTAACTCATCACATCTGGAAATTTGGGGGGTTAGGGTGGAATTTGGGGAGGTCATTATTCATCCTACAACAGAGTCCCACCCTAAAACCTGAGCTCCATGGCTCATCCTACTCGTCAGATCCTGAACTCCAAATTTTGTCTTCTCCAAATTTGAACTCCAAATTTTGAGACCTCCACATATATCCTGTTTTTCAGTATTTTTGTCCAGCTCTTTTTCTTGTTCTTAACAAGAAGGTTGATCCAAAACAACCTGGTCTTCTCTGTAATCACTTATTTTTTTAAAAGCATTGAAGTAAATGCATTTTGCTAAATCCTGTAGTATTGTATGTTTCATTGTCCTTATTTTACATTATCCTTGGTTGTTTTCTTTATCTTTTAAACATTTTATATTCCCTACTTTATTTGTTGTATAATTTGAATTAGAAGTGAAAATTTCTAATGGCTACTAAGTATAAATTTATCTTTAATGAATAGGTAGACTTTGGATAGCTCTCGTAACCTTATGTGTGAAATTCTGCCATTTGTTGTCCAAGCTAGAGGGTTGTGATGTGTTAGCTGCCCTGGCTTTGTTTGTTTTTGTGATCATATTGGAAGAACTTAAAGCTAAGTAAATCCAAGTAAATTTAACGTACCTGTGGAAGTAGATTATGTCTGCTTCTTAGATACCTATCCAGATAAAACTTGGAATAAAATTTGTAGAGTTTTTACTCACAATGTTGCTTTATTTCAGTATGAAGGCTTAGAGTCATCTTTAAAGGATTCCAGCTTTGAGAAGGAGTCGACAGAAGCACAAAGTTTAGAGGTAAAAACCAATAATATAATTATAAAAGCTGGGGGAAGATTCTTACTAAATTACACAAACTTTAAAAAGTAATGCATCTTCTCAAAACTATTTCAAAGGAAATGTGAAAGAGCTTCTCTGAACTTTTTTAAAGAAAAGGTTAAATATAGGAAATAGAACATTAGTAAGTAGCATAAAATATTTTAAATATTTGAGCTCTTGTCGCTAACTTGTTTTGAGTGAGGCACCTTTGGTTCACTAGAATCTAGGCATTATAGAAGCTCATTTTTAATTCCTGGGAAATGTATTATTTTTTTGTGGCCATTTTTTTCTTTTTGATTCACTTTGCTACAGAAAGAAAAATAGGATTTCTAAAAATAAATTTAGCAATAGTCGGCAACCACAGATTATGTATATTGTGTCAGTACTTGCCTTTACTTCATCCCCTCCATTATATTCGGAGCTGGCTAGAATTAGATCAGAGATTTTTATTATAAGCAGTGGTGTGCTGGTAAATATTTAACAACTGGCTCTCTGAAAAGCAGGAGGCCTTATTTTGCTGAGTTCTGTTGTATAAATACTCTGACTGTGACCAATTTCAAGATGCCAACATGATGTGATGAATGTAGAATTTGGAAGAGGTAGGCATACTTGGCCCTCCTGGGCCAGGTATGATTTGGGTAATAGTAAGGAAGGGAAGTATAATAATTTGTCATTTAGCTAAACTACAACAGATTAGGGTAATGGGAGTCCCTTACTACCGTTTTGAGATGGAAGTGTTGTAAAAAGCATACTAACATTAAAGTAGAAAACAATGGACTTTGTATCTTTGGCGCATGTCTTTACTCAGTCCAGCTTGGCAGTTCTCAGTCACCGATGTCTGTAATCATCAGAAAGTCAGATTCAGAATTTCCTAGTAGAATGAAGAGTAAGTGAAAATTGAATTCCAAATAAAATAAATTTAATCTTTTCTTTCATTTGTTACCTGTTAATATACTCAAGAACTTGTTGGAATTGTTATATGTATTTTTTGTTGATCTTCTCCTGTAACTATTGTTCTAGTAATTTGATTAAAAAAGAATTTAAAAAGGCATTTGCATGCTAACAGAAGAGCAAACACTGGAATGCAAAGACATTTACTCAAGCTTGGTGGTATTATGGATAAAATAAAACACCAGTTTATTATCAAGGCATTTAAATCATGTAATCTAGCATGAAGATTTGCTAAATTTTTCTTTAAAATGGACATTTGGAAGTTTTTCTCTAATTTTATTATTTTTCAAAAACATAGTGTTTATTTTCAAGATTGGTAAATATAATTGAATATAAAAAACTTGATGGTAGAATCTGTAGATAAAATCAAAACAATATAGTAATTTGATTCAAGTTGGAATTCATATAATCAAATAGTAAAATTTGGGGAAATATATATAAATAAGTTTTTAACCATTATAATATAGTGTGTATTTGTTCTGTTTTATTTTGGCTTGCATTAAATTCTTTGAATTTTGGTTTATTTTTTTTTTAACAAGTTTGTTGAAGGATCCCAAATATCAGAGGTATGTTTATTATATTTAATATCCAATTGGAATAATCCAATAACTAATCATTTTTAATTCAGAAGGTCACAAAAAAATAATATTCTATAGTATATTATTGGAATAGAATATTATTCTAATATAGAATATTATTTTGAAGCAATCTTGATTGGTTTTTGAATTTATTTTTTATTTTGTCTTTAATTGTATTAAAGTGGATTTATTTCTCATTTTCCCCTTCATAATGCTTTAAAGCAGAGGTTGGCAAACTAGACTCTGGGCTTGCCAACTGTTTTTGTAAATAAAATTTTATTGGAACACAGCTGTGCTCATTCATTTATATATTATTTTTGCTTCCTCACTACACAGGCATAATTGAGTAATTGGGATGGAAACTGCATGGCCTGCAAGCCTAAAATATTTACTCTCTGGCTCTTTATAGAGAAAGTTTGCTGACCCCTATTAGAATTGCTATTATTTCAATGTTCTATAAATGAAGAAATAAACTAAACTTATTTAACTTATAGCATGTATGTTTGATTATACTTATGCCCTGATTTACCCTAATGAAAAATTCCTATGTTCGTCTTACAAAGTTGGCTTCTTCTTTTAGGCCATCTATGAAAAGCTGAACTTGTCCAAATCTGAACTTGAGGATGAAATACTCTTTCTGGAAAAAAAGTTAAAAGAAGAGAAATCTAAACATTCTGAACAAGATGAATTGGTAAGGCTCTTGTGTTTGAGAAGACTATAAGAAAAAGAAAGTTACTGAATTTTAAAAAATTAATATGCTATCAGTTACAGTATTATGTGCACAGTAAAAAATTCAAAGAATACAGAAGGCTGTGAAGTAGAGAGTAAAAAGTTCCAGATTTACTAGCTCTTTTCATTTGCTCAAGGTTATTATTATCACGTTAAGTTTCCTGCATATTTTTAAAGAAATTTTCTATACATGCTGTGGAAGTAGCTCACATAAATAATTTAAGTTGAATAATCACATACATAGTAGATTTTATTTTATCACTCAAAAGGTATGTTAAGAACATTTTAACTTTATTTGTCATCCTATTTTAAAATCTGTCTTAAGGAAGGTTTTGATGTGTATAAAATTATTTAGTGAGATATGACATTAGTGGACTTATCTGGAGCCTATATAACTTAAATGTAATATTAAAGATGAGATAAAATACTATTATGTAACTTTCATATAAAATTTCTTTAAGCATATGGCTGAGCAGGTTTCTTAATTTGAGCCCTCAACTTTTTGAGGAAAGTGTTAGGTTAACAATATATCTAATATATGTGGCATCTTGGAAACCAGAGGAGTTTAGTAAATACTTGTTTATTGATTGATACTGTCTTTCTAGATGGTAGATATTTCAAAAAGGATACAGTCCCTAGAAGATGAATCAAAATCCCTCAAATCGCAAGTAGCTGAAGTAAGTTGAATTAGTCTGATAGGTTTGTTGCTTTTGAAAATTATTTCGATTTTATTTTATGATTAAAAATAATATATAATATTAGAATTTGAGATATAAGGGTCTTAGGTATATATTTTTTATACATGGTACCTCAGGAAAGTTGAATTTTTTATTGGACGATTTATTTATTGAGCTATTGCTATGTACTGGTCACTGTTGAAGATGTTTGGCACTTAACATTAGTAGATAGAATTGACAGAAAAACTCTCATAAAGTTTAAATTCTGGTAAGAGACAGTGACTAAAAAGTTAACAAAACTTGCTATGTAGTTCATAGAAGGTTACAAGAGTTTAAATCAAGATCCAAGGTCACATGGCAAGTTAATATCAGACCCATTATTTTAGGCCAGCTTTTTTTCTGCTATGCCGTGTTACCTCTCCTATTAATGTTGGTGTGTTTTTTACTTTAAGTCCATGTTATAGAGAGTATGTATAAAAAAGCTATTGTATTAAACTGTTATAAACTCAATATGTTGTATTTTACTTAGGCCAAAACAACTTTCAAAATATTTAAAATGAATGAAGAACGACTTAAGATAGCTATAAAAGATGCTTTGAGTGAAAATTCTCTACTTCAGGAAGGCCAGAAACAGGTTTGTACTGTATAGGGATTCTTCATCTTGTGAATATGTAATTATAAATCTTCTGGGCATACTCATGACTGACCCATGCTAAGGGCAAGAATGAGCTTTTCTTGGAGAGCATGAGAACAGGACAATCTCCTGTGTGTCCCTTGGTGTCCTCCTTATGTAGGAAAAATTTTAATAAAATAAGATATGGCATGTTATATGGGATATAAGGAACTGTAAGGAATGACCAAATCTAACAGACATAAATGTGTCAGAAAACTTTTTATTTGATATAAATTTATTACGTCAATCAGTCGAAGAATGTTAAAGTGTCTGTTATTTCATATTACCACTCTTTTGAAGGTTCTTTGAAAATAGGAGCCTTCCCTCCCTCCCTCCCTCCCTCTTTCCTTCCTTTCTTCCTTTTTTCCTTCCTTCTTTCCCTCTCTCCCTCTTTCATTCCATCCCTTATTCTTTTCCTCCCTTCCTTCTTAGCAACACATTACATTGTTTTTTTTTATTTTTCATTTTTTAGGCGAGGCAACCCTTGGTTTACCTCACAGATTACAAGGACCTTGTCAGTTTACAATCCCTTATTTTTTTAATTTTTTACGCCTGCAGCACCTAGTCTTCCTAGCTGATCTCCCATCCAGTACTAACCAGGCCTGACTCTGCTTAGCTTCTGAGATCACATGGGATTGGGCTTGTTCAGGGTAGCATGGCCGTAGACTGTATTGGTTTTCTTTTTAAAGTTATCAATGATAAACTTAAATAAATAAGGATGGTAAGGTAATATGAGTTGTTTTTCTTTTTTTGTTGGGTTTGAATTTTAGCTTTTACAGGAATCTAAAGAATGGAAAGAACAAGTGAGTGAACTTAATAAACAGAAAATGATTCTTGAAGACTCCAAAGCACATGCGAAACAAGTTCTATATGATAAAGAAAATCAGATCAAGGTAAATGGCCCTGGTTTTAGTGACCGAGTTAGCTAGAATTTTATACTAATTTTTGAAATTTGAAAATTTCTGTTTTTAGCAGTTTTATTTTGATCATTTAGTTTGCCCAATTTGAAGACTTTTTCGGCATACATTGCAATTTGTATTAGTATTATCATCTGTGCTGCCAAATGCTCCTTGAAGAGTTACAAATTTGTAGTATACAGATATCAACATTTCATATGTTTTTTATCCCTCTTTTCCTCTCCTTTGTATTTTAGCCTAGGTATTTAATGAAGAAAAAGAATAATGGATTTTACTTTTGTCTTTAGACAGCCATCTACTTCTGTTGATAAGAAGAGGTTGGAAAGAATTTTAGAAATTGGACAGATGAAGTTATATGTATTGGTTGAATATCTTTAATACTTAGGTTAATACTTTCACAGAGATGAATACTTAAATCTAATTGAAACTTGGCTCTAATAGGAATACAATAATTGATATTACTGTTCAGATTTGTTGACTTTTTCCTACTCTCTGTCTCACCCTCCTAACCTCTTTCCTGCCTGCTCTTCTAAATCTTATACTTTCAAGCTGCAAACATACTTGGCTATGAGGATCAAGCAATAAGACGTAAAACTAACATTCTGTAATCTACAGTGAAGTGGATGTTATCATCTTGAAAAATATGCATTTATGCCATTTATGTTGTTACTAAGAATGTTTTCAAGATTTCATCTTTAGAAGTTGTATTCATAATTTGGCACATTATTTATTTTTTTTCTGCCTAAATTTACTCTACTAAAGGACTTTGGAGTTTTCCTAAACAGAACAAGAATAAGATGCTAATCTCAAGCTCTACTCAAAGCTATAGGCCATGTTATTTGTGCTTAGAGGGAGCTGATCGAAGGGTGGAAATTGTAGAGAAGAATGGATTTTTAGCTGAGTCCTTCCACAGAAGTAAATGGCACAGTCACTTTATTATCTGTAGTGCTAGAAAATCTTTCTTTATTCAATAAAATTCAAAAAGTACTGTTGGAAAACTTCTAATGCTCCAATTCAGATTCTCTTTTATAATTTCTTTTTCTTTATGTCAACTGAACCCTCCAGCTAGTTGTTTACTTGAATAAATCGAATCTGTGAAATTCGATCTTTTCATATATCATGAACCTCCCTTGCAGGTTAGTTTGACTTCACACGAAATATATGCTCATGTTAATGGCCACTCTTATTTGCAGCATGTGAGAAATCTCATATAAGAAAATGATTTGTTACTTTATAGTCGTGATATATTTAGCAAAAATGGGCCATTATCAAGAATTCTATTTGATTTAGGAATAACTGGTTTTGGTTTTTAACTTTAAGAATTTAATAGTCAGTAAATGTTAATCTTTTTGGAGTATTTACATATCAATATCGGTAGAGAATAAGAGCTCATGTACTGTTATTTATGTGCCTTGATTTTTAAAGTACAACTGTATACTCAGAAGTTGTTAATTGTTAACATAAGTCATTACCCTCTTTTTTCCCCTCTTTGCTAAATGTCAAGTCTCTGACTGAACGCTTGCTAAAGATGAAAGATTGGGCTGCTGTGCTTGGAGAAGATATAACGGATGATAACTTGGAATTGGAAATGAAGAGTGATTCAGAAAATGGTGCGCACTTAGATATCAGATGCCTCATTCTCTTGCTAAAAATGATGACCAGCTTTTGTATTTCCTTTTATTTCCCCATGTATACCATGTTCTTTATACACTTGTGCTTTGGCCCATCTTGTCCATCTTTCTCTAATACTCTGTCCATTTCTCACCATCCTTTATAGTTAAGCTTCTGCTGGAATACAGCCTTTTCAGTAATCTTTCTCCAACTCCTCAGACAGACTTACAGCCTTCTTCCTCTTTGTTCTTTTTATATATTGTCTGTATCTTCATTATAGTAATTTTCACATTGCATCATAATTATTATAATGCCTGTTTTTCCCTGTACTGTAAGCAAATCAAATGGATGAGAGAATAGTTTGAAAAAAGGTGAATGTTTTATAAGTGAGTACCTCAGGATAGTTTTTTTGTTGCTTTACTTAGGTGATTCATATGGTTACAGTACTTTATTGTCGGCCATCCAAATGGTTATTGCTATTGTTGGTTATAGTCTGGAAACTCAGGAAAAAGTTAAGTTCACTATAGCTACTGAATATTCTCAAACCAATTCCTTTGACTTAAATTTTTTTAAACTTTGGCATAATTATAGACTCACAGGAAGTTGCAAAAAGAGTACGGAGAGATCTTATTTATCTTTCACCTAGTTTTCTATAATGGTAGTCCTTCAGACTTTTGTGTCCTTTCTCTTTTTTCCTCCCTCCACCCCTGCATAATTAACAAAGTTATTAAGGAAGAGAAGATATGTTTTAAAAACATTTTTCTTTGATGATAGCTTTAATGAATTGGAAGAAAATTATATTTCCAAAGTAAATACATATAGTTCTGTTTGTACTTTTTCAATTCTGCTTTATTTTCTAAGAAATAATTATTTTTCTAGTGAGACACTCATGCTTGTTTAATGTTATTTTAATTTGGAGTATAATTACACTCAATATTTTGTATAGTGAAGGATTATAAGAATAGTTGAGACTGTGGACTATATTTAGGTGAGTACCAAATCCCTATTATAACTCTGTTTTTGGAGTGGTCAAGAACCTTGTTACATGATTTTGTGGTACTTCCAGCGCTTTTATTGTTTAACTTCCTGGGAGCAGATCCAAATCCAAGGCCAGTCTGTCTTATATCAAATTCATTATTGTAGCAAGAAGAGGGATAATAAGGCTCTAATTGAGTAAACTAATAAAATCATTTGGATGTCTATTGTGACATTGCATTTTCCCCCTAATTTATTGTTATGTTTTTGTTTTTTATTATAGATAATCAACTAAAAGGAGGTTTGAAGAAACTGATTCATGCTGCTAAGGTTTGCATTGCTACATAAATAAAAAAAAATAAAGAACTAGAACATGGATTAAATCCCTATGTCCTTAGTAACTACCTTTAAAGTCTATTTTATAGTTACAATATAAGACATTAGAATTTTCAGATGTGATCATACTTATCTTCACCAATTGCTTTTTTCTTTTTTATACCAACTAGTAATTCATATTGTTAATTTTTAGAATTTATGGTAACAAAACTTTTCAAGCTCTATATTCGTTTCTTTTGTCTAAACAATATATTAAAAACATTTATTTTCTCTCATACTTCCCTCTTGAGCATTTTTCTTCCTTTAGTCTCAGTATTTTCTTGTCTCTATTGCCCCATATCCTATTTTGAGAAGTAAATAATAGGTTCTTTTTCTTCTGGTTTATTCTTTCTCTTTTCTACCCTAGTAGTGGTATCCTGATTTTTATTGATCTGTGAGAAGTCTTGGTAATGTAGTTTGAAGATTGCTTTAATCAAACTTATGTTTTAAAAGTAAGCAGATTGAAAATAGCACTGTTTAAGCATCCATCACAGATCTTCTCTATCCCTGTTCTGAAATTTCCAACTATTGATGAATTTGCTGACTTTCTGAGATGGAAACTGCATTGTTAGTTTGTACATTCTAGGCAATAATTTCACCAAAGTGAGATTTTTTTTGGTGTGGCTGATTAATGTTGCTTTTTTCCTTTTCCCATTCTTTGAAGTTAAATGCTTCTTTAAAAACCTTAGAGGGAGAAAGAAACCAAATTTATACTCAGTTATCTGAAGTAGATAAAACCAAGGAAGATTTTACAGGTGGGTAATATATATATACTTTTAAAGTTTTCCTAAATAAATACATCTCCTTATAGAGAATGGTACCATAAATTGAATCAATTATGAGAAAATCCAATTTGATAGGATTTTGAATAAATTTTTGTTTCTTATTTGTGAAAAATTAGTCCTGAGTTTTTTTTTTGTTGTTAGTAAAGCCTTATCTGTTCCTCCATATTTATATGAAATTAATGAAATTATTTTAAAAAACATGTAAAACCATACTTATTTTAGAATTTTAGTATTATATGTCTATGGTTTGAGATATTAGAAAGCAGCAAATTAAAACTTAAAATTTTCAAAATCTTTGTAAATTGCAAAATTGACTTTTATAGTGGTACTACTATATTTTACAGATTTTTACAGTATAGTTTTCTCCTTTAATGTACATGCGTAGTATATTAGCACATGCAAGAATGATATTAGACCTGTAGAACTGAAGTTTTTTTCATTGAAAACATTTTTATTTATTTTGCTGGTATAGTTGATATAAGTAACATCCCATTTTGTAAAAAAAAAAAAAAGAATTTTACCATAACCATTTACATAAAGAAAGAATGTAAGGATATACTAAAATGTCAACAATTATTATCTTTGAATATGGGATTATAGATAGATTTCTCTTTGACTTTTACAACCTGTATTTTCAAAAATTTCTACAATAGTGAACTGTATTTATTTATAATAAAACACTTTTTGAAAAGGTTGAACCACCAAAGAATCATATTATTAAAAACAAGAGTATAGCCTTATACATGATATTGATATTTGGATTATTTTGGATTTTGAAAAGTAACATTAACTTAAAAATAAATTTTGTTGTATGTGACACATATTACTAAAAGCTATGGGAGCATCACAGGAGGAACAGATATGGAGCTCTCTTTTAAGGAAGCTGTATTTTAGTATATTAATAGACTCTCAGTGAGGAACTATTCAGTAAGTGCCAGAATACCAAGAATTTGCTCATCAGTTACCCCATTTGTTAATAAAATTGCTTGGCAAATTTTTATTATTTTCTAAAGCTAGTATTTGGAGACTCTATATCTGCCTGTACCCTCCTTCCAAATTTAACTTTCTTTTTTTAATAGGTCACAAAAAAGGAATTTCTACAATCAATTTTTTCTATTTATAACATGAAAGTTTTATTCTAAACTGCTTCTCCTCTTTGCTCATTATTTATAGTTCTCTTTTAAGATATAGAGGATTTGAAACAAAATAGTTAAAATAGAAATACAAAAATATAATGATCTAAGTGTTGGTTTATTTTTTTAATAAGATTGATTCAGTTTTAATAGCAATAATATCCAACATTAATGTCTATTAAATGACTGTTCTTGGTAATGGCTTAAAGCTTAAGTCAACAGATGTGAATTTAAAAATATATATGAGGGTGGCTCCATAATGTAGTGGTTAGCACATCTGCTTTAACACGCAGAAGGTCCTGGGTTCTCGCCCCAAGTGGAGCCACGGACCAGGCTCCGGGTGCGCCAGCCCTCAGGTGCACGCTGCGAGCGTGTGGGAGGAGATGCCCCGCCTTCAGAGATTCAGTTCTTAAGGGGAAACGGCAACATCCATAGGTCAGAGGTGGAAGTGGGGGCGGAGCGGGGAATTAAAAGAGGGGGAAAAAGAAAAAAAAAATACCATACAGATTTTCTATTGTTAGAAAGAATTTTGTTTATTAATAATTTAAGTAATTTTTATTTGTATGAAGTGTTAATATGCAACTCAAAATATTTACTCCTTTAATTGTGACTTTTAAAAATTATCTATAGAATATATTAAAAATCTCCAGACTGAACAAGCATCTTTGCAGTCCGAAAATGAACAATTTGAAAGTGAGAATCAAAAGCTTCAGCAGAAACTTAAAGTAATGACTGAACTGTATCAAGAAAATGAAATGACACTTCACAGGTAATAAAAATTATGTTGATAACTCTACTGAATGGCAAGTAAAATTGCTTAAAAATGTTGCATATTCAATTTATATGATTATGCAAAGTTCTCAGTTTATTATTGGGTTATATTTTATCAATTCATATTTTAAGAAAGTTATTTGATCTTGAAACACTTTCTTCAAGGAAGAGAATGTAAATGATCTTGGACTTTGGCTTTGCAAGCTAGTTCACAAAACCCTCTTTAACTTCTTTTAAATAGTTAACAGATTATTGTTAATTAAACTTTCTAATACTACAGACTCGGTCAGGGAATCTGGGTGGACATCCTGAAATTGAACCCTACTCGTTAATTGCATCTCTGATATATGTAAAACCGATTTCTTTTCACTGTGTAAATTGCTCCTGCCGATCTGTTCCTTGTCTTAGTAAATGGCTGAGTTGCTCAGGGCAGCTGATCAAGCCATCCTTGACTTCTCTCTTTTATATCCCATATTCATTCTACCTTCAAATTCTGTCAGTCTTCCTGTATCTTGAATCTGACTACTTTCCACCACCTCCTATACTACTCTGATCTAAGCCATCATAAGTTAGTATCTGGTGCCGTAGCATCATGACTGGTGTCTCTCTTTGTACTCTTAACTTCCTGCTCTGTGTTTTCAGCAGCAGGACAATTCTAAAACATAAATAATGAGCATCGTCATTCTCTTGCTTGGAATCACACTTAGAATTTAATTCAAAGCTTTTGTCATGGCCTACAAGACTCTACCATATCTGGCTTATTTATTTTATTTTTCCTTCACTACATTAGAGCCACACTGGCTTTCTTGATGATCTTTAGCATGCCAAGTGCATCTGTATTTCAGGGCCTTTTGTACTTGCCCCTTCTGCCCAGAATGGTATTCCCCTGTAAAAGGTTCAGTCCTTCATTTAATTTAGGCCTAGGTTCAAATGATGCCTCAAAGAACCCTTCCCTGGCTAGCCTCACTAAAACAATACCTGCTACTCCTTGTCCTCTTATCTTGCTTTATGTTTCTTTCTTCATAGCCCTTATTCTCCTCTGATGATTGTCTTTATTTACTTACTTTTTATTTTATCTTCCTCACATTAAATGTAACTCCATGAGAGCATGACTTTATCCTCTTCTCTTTGACTAACTGATAGTAGCTTTATGGTTTTTATCAATAAACCTAGTAACGAGCCCTTCTTTTTAGGTTAGGGTGAAAGATAATACAATTTGGACATAAAAGGGATTTATTTCAAGTGAAAGAAATACTTTTGAGTGTATCTTTTGGACAAAAATATATGATTGATTATGGAATTTCGATGAATAATGTTTAAAATTTCAAAGAAAAATTTCTGTAGATACTCAAAGCAAGGATGGAAGGCTGAGTAGAATCCTAGCTGTATGTATGTTGTTCACGTTGTAATTTCATTTATTACTTTGAAATGTTTTGGATTCCCAAAATATTATGTATTTCATTCTTACATTTAAATGAAAATACTACTCAAATTTAATAAATTATACCACTATGTTTTCTTCAGAATAGAATATAGAGTTGATAGTACTAGTCAAATGTTAAATTAAAATTCTTGCCTACATGCAGTGTAATTTAGATTCAGTCATTTTCTAGATGCTAGATTGATGTTTTTTACTACTGATATATTACATTACTAGCACTTTTCCAAATTTAATATTTGAGAGGAGTGAAATAGTGTAGAAGCTTGATACGTTGTTGCTTTAAATATGTGAAGTAAGATGTGAATGTTTTTTAGTTATATCATTGCGTTTCCTTTCACAGTAAAATTTTCATCGTTAATAAGCCCACCATAATTCAAGGGGAGGGTTCATAGACTTTACCTCTCAGTGGGAGGGGTATCAGAGAATTTCTGGCCATTTTAAATCTTCACAGTCTGTAAAAACACTGCCATCTCCAAGCTCATTAAACTGTTATGCTTTTCCTAAGGTGATGACTTTTATTTTCTTATAATATCTATGAAATGATTGACCTGGGGAGTGCTTTCTAAGCAATAGGTAATGTAGTATGTAGAATATAAAACGTTTTCTGCTGCCCTTTAGAATTTCTTTAGTTTTTTTATCTTGTTCCTCTTTAAAGTTCATGAAGAAAGGGAGATATCCATAGCTAGCACTCCAAATGTGTTTTTCCGTGGTTTTCAATAAATATTTCTTGAGCGTTATTAATGATACCCTGTGGAAACAGCAGGGTAATACAGTATGATGGAGTTAGCTCTGTGCCTTGGTCCAGTTATTTAGTTTCTCTGTTCTTCGTGTGTGTGTGTGTCTGTGTGTGTCTGTGTCTGTGTGTGTGTATGTGTTTGTAAATAGTACCCTTTTTATAGAGTTGTTAAGATAATACCTGTAAAGGTTTAAGGACAATTTCTGGCACGTACTAATGGCACAATAAATTAGGTATTAAAAGAGCTAGAAGTGGTAAGCAGGACTACTACTACTTTTATTTACTTTGGGTTCATTATGAGTTGGGGTTTTGTGTGTGTATGAGTGTGAGTGAACTGGCTTAGAAGACTAATCACTATTTTAAAACAAACAACTTAAAAATTGTTGAAACACAGTTCATTGGTTGGTAACTTCTAATAAGTGTAATGCTTCTTTATATAAGAAGTATTGATAAATCATAAATATATTAATAGTTTTTATTAATATTTACCTTTGTTAATCTTATTTTTATGATAAATTCTTACAGAAAACTCTTGAAATTTTTATATTAGTAGCACTGTTATTAGGATGCTTTATATTTGAGTTCCTAATATTAAATTCCATGCCAGGAATATTTTCACAAGTACTTTTTTCCCCTTGCATGTGATGTTTTTAGTGGTATTATGCAAACTGCTTTTTGGGAAGCACCCATATATAATTAAAGATATATAATTGATTATTTTATGACATATAGTAAAAGAAAGAAAATACTTTTTGTTTTAAGGAAATTAACGGTAGAAGAAAATTACCGGTTACAGAAAGAAGAAAAACTTTCCAAAGCAGATGAAAAGATCAGTCATGCAGCTGAGGAGCTGGAAACCTATAGGTATTAAATATATTTTACCCTCTTTTTTTTTGAGGTGGGACAGGTATCCAAAAGCCAAATACCAGAAAAAATAAGACATTCAGAAAAACAGTAGAGTATTTTTGTTTCATCATTTTCGTTTAGGTGTTTTGCCATTATGCAACTATACAGAAAATGGAAAAAGGAAAAAGTGGTTTTCTTTCAGGGTGTGAGATTTTAAATCTTTTATATTAGTTGTATTTGAATGTGAATAATCCTATTTTCTGTTAATCTCAAAACAATTATGAGTAGCCATTAATTTCAAAGTCCTTCCTCATTGATTAAAATGCAAATGTATACAATATTAATGAATTCAAGAAATATCCCACTAAAAGAAAGTGAGCCACAATTAAAGTTCTAAAGTATTTATAAGACTGTAAGTCTATCAGCAGCCTACCAAACCGAATGGTTGTGATTCTTCATTTTACAGTAGGAAGAGTAAGCTTGAGTTTTATTCAGAAGAAGGAATTACCTTCTTAGTCTTTTAAAGGTAACAAGTAACATTTTATTTTGCACAGATTGTTAATTTCCTAGAATTCTATTAAGATTACAGACATCTGAATAAATCTTCCAATATCATACTTCTTGAAAATAAAAATGAACCAATGTACCATATAAATCTTTGACCTAGATAAACCCAAGTAGTATTACTTTTAAAGCTTAATTAATGTTAAAATTATATCAGGAAAAAATATATTTTAGAACCTCTTAAAGGTGATTTAACATGTGGAGTTCTGGAGCTTTTTTTTTTTAATGAAACAAAGTACTCTAGGTGCTTTAATTAATATTTTCAGTGGAGACAATGTGTTCTGTCATTAGTATATTTTAATAGTAGATTGATTATCTCTTTCCTATAGAAAGCGAGCCAGAGATCTTGAAGAAGAATTGGAGAGAACCATTCATTCTTACCAAGGGCAGGTATGTGTGTATTAATTAATGAACTTAATTCTGATTTGTTTGAATTGATATCTCTATTTTGATGCAGGAGTATAGTTACTTGACTAGTAGTACACATCTCTTCGGGTTTTGCATGTAGCTGTGGAACATTTCTAGGGAGCCAGAGATTCTGGGAAACGAGATCATGTTTAAAGTTGCCATGTCTTTTGCTTCTTTGGGAATGTGGATTGCATAAATAAATAACATATATCAGCATTGGGGTCTCATATTCAGTCAGGCTAGTTGTTTCTTAATTGGCAATTCATATTGTAGTTGATTATTGCACAAAGTAGAAATTTATTAAATAAAACTTTTGGTTGTCTTTACATTCAATTTTGTTTTAAAATAGAGTAGATCATTTGTATGTGAAAATTTGCTTTGAAATGTTACTGACTTTTCAGAAATGCTTGAGTTATTTTTGAGTTTATGAGTTGTGTACTAAATCTTAGTTGTAGATGTGAATGCTTTTTACATAAGAAACGTAGTTATTAATATTATAATGATTTTCTTTTTTCAGATTATTTCCCATGAGAAAAAAGCACATGATAATTGGGTAAGGATTAAATTCTCTTAGCCTCTTTTATTAAATTGTTCTTTTTCCTAACTTAAAAGAGCAGTATAAAAGGTACCTTTACACTGGAAATAAAGGTAGTATTTAAAAAAATCCTTTTCTTTGCTATGTTCCTAATGAACTCAATACTTAGTTTATTCACACAATTTGATTTTTTCTTCTCTGCTTTCAGCACATAACTTCTCTGCCAGGGGCTTTTACTCTCTCTGGGGAAGGTGATATAATGTTCATGGATTTATTTTTTCAGGGCACTGGATTGCCATTGCCACTAGTTTCTGTGGACAAATTACTTAAAATTTTGAGCCCATTTACTCATCTGTAAAACAATGACATGGAACTAAGTGATACCTAAAGCCTTTTCTAGTTCTAAGAGTTCTAAAAATATAAGAATTCTGGTATGTATCTGCTTCTTAGTGTTGAATTACTTGATACACGTTAAGAAGAAGACCATCATGAGAAATGGCATGTCAGTACTGCAGAGGAACGATATGATGAAATCATCCTGATGCAGATTTTGACTAATTACAATAACCATCCCTCTAACATGTAGAACTGTTGTAATAACCAGCCTTTGGAGGACTTGTCCCTAGGAGTCTTTAAGGGGAGGCATTTTGCACAGTGGGTGAATACATGGGGTCTGGAGTCAGCCTGTCTTGGTTGGTATCCTGGCTCCATGATCTACCGCCAGTTTCTTTTCCTATAAAATAGGGATATCATTAGTACCTATTTCATAGAGTTATTGTAATGATTAAATAAGATAATAGTTGTAAGGCTGTTAGTCAGGTGCCTGACACATAGTAAGCACTCAGTAAATGTTAACTATTATTATCACTGTTATACTGAAGCTTGGAAGATATTTCTTAGGCAACAAGAAGCTTGGAAGATATTTCTTAGGCATCGATGTTTCTTGGAGTGAGATTCCAGCTTAGGGTGAGAAATTAGATATGTTGAATGTCAAGATCCTTCCCAATTCTAAGATTTTGTAACACTCTGTATTGAGAGTTCAAGTGAAGATTTGTTACTGAATTAAGCTGGGCCTGGATATGAATTTAGTCTTCTTTACCACTCATCACTTTCTAAATACCTAGATGCTAATTATTTTTTAAAGATGTGTAGGAGTTGATGTTTATTATTATCTCTCATGTTCAAGGCACTGTACTTAAGGCATTCTGCATGTTACTCGTTTAATCCACACCGTAACTCTGTAAATAGGTATTATAATTCAAGTTTTACACATGAGGAAATAGCCCAAGGTCATATGAGTAGAGAATGAAGAGTGGAGATTGAAATATTGACCTTTTGAATTTGTTAGTAAATAATGATGTTGACTTTAAATTAAAATATGCAGAAAATATGCCCTTTATGTCTCAAAATGAAGGTATTTTTCAGATTTTGTAAAAATAATATATACTCATTAAACGAAAGTTCAGACCATATAGAATGGTACAAAGAAGTAATCAGCAGTATTACTTTAATTTATTCCATACTTTTTTGAATACATCTAGACATAAAAGCACATATATATGTTTTAAAAAAATGGAATCATATTATATATTAATGTTTTACAATCTGTTTAATGTATCAGATATTTTTCTATGACTGTTTCATAATCTATATAAACATTTTTCATTTGGTAAATATTTAGTTTCCACTTTTTTACTCTTATAAGAAATTTTTTATGTTATTTTATCTATTGAGCATATTTTTGTTCCATTCCATTAATCTTTTCTTCCTTTTGAACTCACACATTGTTTTGTATGTGTATGTCTTTGTGTGTGTGTGTGTCTTATGGCAAGTATTGTACTTATTTGTATTTGTCCTTTCCACAGATTAAAGCTTCTTAAGATAGGAACTGTTTCTTTTTTCTTAACGCCTGTACCTAATTGAATGCTTTTTTGCACATTGCACGTATTCAATTACTGAATACAGTGTTTTAGAACACATCGTGGTCATTTACTGAAATTACAGTTTTACCTAACCTTTGGGTGTAAGCTTTTCAAAAACCTATAATCATTTGCCATCAGTTAATTGTCATATTTTTTCGTAGGTATATCTTTAATATATACTATACTATAATGATGGTAGAACCCCCTTTTGACTTATTAACTGCATTTTTTGTGCTTTATCTTATGGGTAAATATGTTATACTGTGTAGAAAACATTTAGGAGTAATTTTGGTTCTGCTTTGTTAAAAGTTAAATGAATTGGTATTTTATTCTTTAAAATTGTGGTATAATTTTTTTTTTTCTTAGTGCTAAACTGATTATATGATTATATATTGGAAAAAGTTTACACATGGGATCTTTTTGATAGTGAGTGCTAAAATGTGATTAAGCTATGTTTTTTTGTGAATATTTACATAATTTATTCTTTGGACATTCGAAGTCAGTTCTCATGTGTACTTCACAGTTTTAAGTGAACACATTGATAGTATAGTTCTTTTACCTATAAAAAGTTAAGGTTCTAGACTGAGTTAATTTACCTACCTTTGTATGATAGATACATTTGCCCTAGGATTGTATTAGTTCA